CATTTCATCGACTGTTGTTAAGGATGTTGCACTATCTGATCATTTCTGTATCTTCTTTGATATATTGATCACTCCAGCTATTAAAGACAGATCTGTCTCTATCAGAAAGAGATGCATAAATGAGAACACTAGTGAGCAGTTTATGAAGGCCATATCGCTAGCACCAAGTATATCTGCAGATTCTGTTGATTCTCTCCTTGATTTGTTTAACTCTAAAATTAAGATTATAGATGACATCGCTCCTGTTAAAGTCAAGAAGATGACTGGCAGGCAAAAGGGATCTTGGACAAGGTCACCGAGAGTACAAATGGTAAAAAGACAGTGCAGAAAAGCTGAGCGTATGTGGAGAAAGACGAAACTAGTAGTCCATTATAATATCCATAAAGACAGTCTTCATGCTTTTAATATGGAACTAAACACTGCTAGGCAGACTTTCTTTTCAAGCCTTATAAACAGCAACTTAAATAATGCTCGTACACTCTTTGCAACGATAGAGAGACTCACAAACCCCCCCAGTCAGATTCCAGGTGAACTACTCTCTGAAAGCAAATGTAATGAGTTTGCTCATTTCTTTACAGATAAGATCAATAATATTAGAAATGCAATCAGCTCATCCAATCAGCCAAGTTGTGTCGATATCAAACAAGCTCAACCACAACTTAAGAAATCAGACATTATGTAAACCCCTCTTGAAGTAGAGCAACCTGGATAACACCCTATTGAGCAATTACAGGCCAAATCTCAAATCTCCCTTTCATTGGCAAAGTCATTGAAAAAGTTGTTTTTAACCAGGTTAACAATTTTTTAAACTTAAAGGGGTGTTTAGACAATTTTCAATCTGGGTTTAGAGCACATCACAGTACAGAGAGCGCTCTTATAAAGATAATCAATGATATACGTCTAAATACAGATTCAGGTAAAATAACAGTGCTGGTATTGGTCAATCTCAGTGCTGCATTTGACACTGTCAATCACAGCATACTTCTGGATAGGCTGGAAAACTGGGTTGGGCTGTCTGGCACGGTCCTCAAATGGTTTAGATCTTACCTTGAAGGTAGAGGTTTCCATGTCAGTATAGGTGACAATAGGTCAAGGTGGACACCTATGACATGTGGAGTCCCACCAGGCTCGATTCTGGCACCTCTCCTGTTCAACCTTTACATGCTCTCTCTGAGCCAAATAATGAGAAAGAACCAAATCTCCTTCCACAGCTATGCTGATGACACTCAGATCTACCTAGCCTTACTGCCTAATGACTTCAGCCCCATTGACACCCTCTGCCAATGCATTGATGAAATTAACAATTGGATGTGCCAAAACTTTCTTCAGTTAAACAAAGAGAAAACTGAAGTCATTGCGTTTGGGAACAGAGATGAGGTTCTCAAGGTGAATGCGTACCTTGGCTCTAAAGGTCAAACAACAAAAAATAAGGTCAAGAATCTTGGTGTGACTCAGAGTCAGATCTGAGTTTCAACAGTCATTTCAAAACAGTCAGTAAATCAGCATACTATCATCTCAAAAACATAGCAAGAATCAGATGCTTTGTTTCCAGTGAAGACTTAGAGAAACGTGTTCATGCTTTTATCAGCAGCAGGGTGGATTACTGTAACGACCTCCTCACTGGCCTTTCCAAAAAGACAGTTAGACAGTTGCAGCTCATCCAGAATGCTGCAGCCAGAATTCTGACCAGAACCAGAAAATCAGAGCACATCACACCTGTCCTCAGGCCTCTACACTGGCTCCCAGTTACATTCAGAATAGACTTTAAAGTATTATTACTGGTCTATAAATCACTAAATGGCCTAGGACCTCAATACATTACAGATATGCTCACTGAATACAAACCCAACAGATCACTCAGATCTTTAGGATCATATAAACTAGAAGTTCCAAGAGTTCAGTCAAAGCAGGGTGAATCAGCTTTCAGCCACTACGCCCCTCGCTGCTGGAATCAGCTTCCAGAAATGATCAGATGTGTTCCAACATTAGGCATGTTCAAATCAAGACTAAAAACACATCTGTTTAGCTGTGCCTTTACTGAATGAGCACTGTGCTGCGTCGAACAGATCGCACTATTATGTTTTTTTCTTCTTCATTCTTTTATATCACATTTTACCTGTTTTTATGTTTTTTAATCAGTTTTATTATTTGTTTTTATTTATTTATTTGTTTTTTACTTGTTTCTTTTATTCTTGTTTATGTAAAGCACTTTGAATTGCCACTGTGTATGAAATGTGCTATATAAATAAACTTGCCTTGCCTTAACTTTCTATTGGTGTATCGGTTAGCTTTATGTGCTTTTGAAAGCTTGAAAAAGAGCTACTATATCTAACACTATTATACATCATGGAGGAGCCAGAATAAAATGTAAAACTACTCTGACTGTGTTTGTCTCATTGAAGAAAGTCTTTTACACAGAGGATAGCTTAAGGGTGATTAAATTACGGGGTAATTTTAATTATAATTTTGTGTCAACAAATCTTTAAAAGCAAAAAAAAAAAAAAAAAAAAAAAAAACAAGTGCTTCCTTTAGAGAAACAAAGGCTTCTTCAACTGTTTTAGCAGCCATATGGGAATGTGTAATGTGCTGCTAATCATGGAACAGTCTCACCTCCCAAAAAAAGGTGATTAAACAAAGATTTAGTTTGCCAACAATTTCATTCCCTTGTAGTGTTGCCATCTTTGTTAGTAGCTCTGTGACCGTAGGTGGGAGCATTGAATGACAGCCATAAACCTGAATGTGTGTGAATCTGCATGTGCAAATCAGCAGAGAGTCAATGTGGGAGGCTGCATTTGCCAATTTATCATCAAATTGGATTTCATGCTAAATATAGTGTATTATTAATCCACCTATCCACCGGTGGCCTCCAGACATCAGCGTTGACAACAGGTCTCTTCACTTTAATTAAACATGTCGTCACGATTCGCACCACAACTGTGGATAGCTTAACACGTGCCATTATTTCATCATGCCTCAGACTAGGAATGTCAATTCCCACACATTGCTATTATTGATTGTTTTCTTAATTAACTATCGATTAACTGATTAATCATTAACCTTAAAGGAATAGTTTACACAAAAAATGAAAATGTACTCACCCTCTAGTGGATCTTCCTCTGAAAGAAACTTAAATCAGTTGGAAAGTGGAGGATGAGCAAACCATGATAGACATTTTTGGGAGGACAATCCATTTAATAATGCAAGATGTGTTTACTTCTGTGGTACATTGTCACCAGCATGACAACTTCTGCAAATGACATGTGAAACACAAGCATCCATGCCAAATGGAAATTAATTATGGCAAATTGAAAGAATTCATGATTGATCTTTTAGTTGAACCATTTAGTTACTAGTCAAATGTTATGATTATTATGCAATCTGTCAGTAGCCATAGTACTTTTTACTGGGCGTTCATTTCTTTCCAGTGTTCATAGGACATGTGTTAATTACGGGAATAGGTCACCTAAAAATGAAAATGTACTCACTTTTAAGTGGTTCTCTTTTGAATTATTTTCTTTTTGTTGAACAAAAAAAGATGGGGGAAAAGCAGCCATTGACATGCATATTAGCGAGAAAAAAAATGACCAAGGAAGTCGGTGGCTTTTTTTCAACCTTCTTCAGAATATCTTCTTTTGCGTTCAACGAATAAAAGAAACTCAAACAGTAAAGGATGATTAAATCTTGCCAATTTAAAATTTTTGGATGAACTATCCCTTTTTCGGAAAATTTGGGGGTCAACATTTACTGAATATCCATAAGTTATTAGCTCTATTTATGCATTTACATCCTATACAATTTCAGTGATTGTACATTAGATGTTCATGAGCTTAATGTAACAGTCAGCTTTCTGAAAAGGATTAGCATATCATAATATGCTAATCCATTATAGATAATTGATCCAGTAATGCACAACCCCAGATGAACTGTTAAGCTGATGCGCTGTTTTGTTTCTCAAAGCAAAGTATCAAAAAGTTTTTAATGAGCTTATGTGCTTGCTTTCATTTACATTTGCATCCGTGTGAGCTGCTTGCGCCACAAAACTATGCATGCTAATGACTTAATCGACTTTTGTTGAGGTGTATTGACAATTATTACACAGCTCTCTGGAATACTTCATTCTGGCAGGTCAATCATGAAACTTCAAGGTATACTATTTCTGGAAAACTAGCTAATCCTAGTGCTTAGAATGTATTAATACATGTATTTATATGCTTTTTTGTCACGCTGTTTTTGACGGTTTGGCACCATCTTGTGGCTCAATAATAGTACAAATAGGTTGGTGTAGGCTGCATTTAGTTGTTTTTGTTTCTGTAAGTTTTGTTTAATTAAGTAACTAATAAATTATTACCTCTCATATCAATGCTTTGTGTCTAATAGTTTAGTTTTGTAGGAGGTAGCTGTGAAATAATCAAGATAATGTATGTAGTTATGACAAACATAAAGTCCTTCATTATGTGTCACGTTGGGCTTTAGTCTGTGAGAACAATCAACTAGATTTATGCTATGCCTTTAATGATTGTTGTTTAATTGTCAGCATCCCTTCTTCATACAGATATAAGTATACTTCTGATTTAAATGGATAGATCACCCAAAACTGAAAATTCTATCATAATTTACTCGCCCTTTAACTGTCACAAACCTGTTTGATTTTCTTTCTTTTGGTTCACTAAATTTTAAAATACAAAAAATTTGTAACCATTCACTTCAATTTGTTTATCTTACTATGAAAGTCAATAGTTACAGGTTTTTAGCATTTTTTTCTCTCCTGTGTTTAATAGAATAATTAATCTCATAAAAATTTGGAACCCCTTGAGGTTGAGTAAATAGTAAATAAATTTAGATTTTCGGCTGAAACGTCCCTTTAAGTTTCTGTTGGAAATTACATTCTTTGCTAGAGAAGACTAAAGTGTAGTGTCTTTTTTTCTTTCGGTCCCCCCTTGTGACTCTCTCTCACCCATCTTTCTGTATTTATCACTTGACCTCTTCCTCTTCTCTTTCAGATCAGTCAGATGCTGGGCAATGAGATCAAGTTTGCGGTTAGAGAGCCTGTGGGACTGAGGTAAAACCCCATTCCTGTGCTGTTCTGCCTCTCTCTGCTGTGCGGCGCTTCGGGGAGTTTGCTTTAATTCACATCATTTATTACATTCGGCCCTGGGTCACCAATGCAGAAAATAGCAGGCCTCAATTAAAGTACAGTCATTTTGACATGCTGCAGCTGAACCCTGAACCCAATAATTGTACAAATTCAGCTTCTGTTTTAATGATGTGTATCATTCTGTCTGTTTCTGAACACTAAAGCAAATGATTTACATACGAAGAATCTCCTGCAATGTTGTTATTAAAGTAAAAATGTATTTATATAGCACATTTTGTAGAGAAGTAGTCACAAAGTGCTTTACAGTAAAACAAAATGTATATTAAAACAGCTTAAAATCCAAGTACAAATAACACCAAATGAAAATCCAGCACATCTTCCTGTTAATTTAAACCTGCCTAGTTAATGGACATTAACCCTCATAACACATATTTTCTCCACATTTTATCATTAAAAACAGTTACATACAAAACAATTGTTACTTTTTTTCTTTTTCACATTATTTGCAAATATAATATTCAAATATTCATTATAATATTTAAATATAATATAAATATTCATGTGATAATTAAGCTGAATTTTCAGCAGCCATTATTTATAGCTTAGTTTTTAGTGTCATTGATGATGATAATTACTATTATTATTGCTGCTGCTTTTTTTAGTTCTTTGATAAATAAAAATAATAAAAATGGTTGCACCCTACAAATTTAAATATTTAAATATTACAGAAAAATAAATAAAATAATATGACTGAACTGGTGAACTGTTGTGTTATTGTGAATCATCAGTGTCACAAATGTACTTATTCCTTTGGTAACCTACAAATATTGCAGAATCTCTACTGTTTCTTGTTCGTATTACATGAGAATATTTATTTCAGTATATTTCAGGATTTAAAAGCAGTTTTAAATCACAGATATATCATCTCAGACTTTCAAAAGTCTCTCTATAGCATTGCAAAACTGGCCATGGCATTCTAATATAGAGCATGCACAATCAAAGTAAGCCATTTCCTCTTTTGACTCTACCTTTTTCTTTGCTCAAGGTTATGGATTCTCTTCTCCGCCGTGGTTTTCACAGTCATGGCGCTTATGGTGAGTTTCATACTTTAAGCTCCATATCCTCTCAGGACCATTACTTCTCCTTTTTTTTTTTTTTTTTTAGCAACATTACAAGCCTATTCTTCATTCAATTATTTTGTATGTGTTATTTTTAGGCCCTAGCCTTCCCTAACCAGCTGTATGAGGTTGTATTTGATCAAGAGCAAACAGTCACCAGTGTCTCCATACGTCTTTATGGAGGAGCCATTCTCAGTAAGTCATATCCAACTTATTACACAATGCAACCATACACTCAACAAACAATATAACAATTATCTTGAGTTAAATAAAAATTAGACTTATAGTAATTAAATAAAATGTAAAACTTTTGTTGGTTTAATTGTTAAATTTGGTATGTACTTTGATGTTGAACAGACATAAACTTCGTCCCCAATAAACATCTTTTTAATTACTACAGTATGTGTGTGTAAATCCGTCATCACATAAAGGCCTTGTGTCTCTTCAAAATGTTTGCATTATACTGCTCAAACTATTATTTTTTTATCCTAAAACATAGAAGGCACGTTTTTGGTTTAAAAAAAGATCAAAATGAAACCCAGGTTCATTGGAAATGCCTCAGACTTGATTTGTGCAAACTGTAAAATACCTACATTTCTGTGCATATTTCAGATGGCAAAGCCACTAGAGGGCGCTGTCTACAGTTTTGCAATTGAAATGCATTACTTGGTGTACATTTCAGATACACATCCTTCTTTTACACATTCAGTAGATAGCAGGCCTTGTGTACAGATAGCAAATCATTGACCTAAAGCCAATCAATTTTTTTTTTGGTTTGTTTTTCCCCACACACTGAGACAGATGTAATCCTTTATTTTATGGCTAAATAAAGAACTGGTTGTTTCAACAAGTACAGCACTTTCTTTATGCTCTGTCTGTGAGAGGCTAGAACAGTTAGGGGAGATGGGGCAAATGGCTTGCAGTTTAGCTCAGCATCGACATATATTCAGACAATATTGTATTAAAGGAACACTCCACTTAAAAAAAAAAAGACAAGAATACAAAATTTTGTCTGTCAAAGTAGGTCAATATTAGGAGAGTTTAGATGCAAAAACCTCTCATATTTTCTTCTAAAATTAGCATTTTTCACCGACTCCTGTGTGCAGGCTCAGTAAAAATTTTACTTTTATAGTGATGAATAAGTTATTAACATTGCCTTTAAAGTCAAATAACTGAACATAAACATAGGAGGCTGACAAAAATGGCAATTTTAGGAGAACATTTCAGATGGCATTTAGAGGTTTTTGCATCGAAACTCTTCATTTTCTTTACTGAAGCCTATTTAAACAGATGCGTTTCTCATATGTCTCTGGTTTCAAGGCATCCTCTGAAACCACTAGTTCTCTAGTGTTTCTTGACTATTACAAGGGAATAAGAGTGACAATATTTCCCAGCAATATTGGCCTAGAAAATAGTATATATATTAGGGCTGCACGATATATCGTTTCAGCATCGAAATCGCGATGTGCGCATCCGCGATAGTCACATCGCAGGAGGGTGCGATGCAAAAAAAAAAAAATAAAAATTATATATATATTATGGGTGGAGCCGAACCGGAATACGGTATTCGGAAAAGCAGGAATAGCTGTTTTTACGAATACTTATTTCAAACAATACTTGATAAATTATTTGTATTTGGGAACAAGAAAAACATTATATCAAAAAGCTGCGTTTCCTCATGAGACCGCACTGCATGCCCGCGTGAGTGAGTGAGTGAGTGAGTGAGACGTTCAGGAGTCGGTGGGCGGGGTGGGGCCGGGGTAAGGAGACTGAGCAGGCTGCTTCTCTATACAGCAACAGAGAAGGCTTGGCAGAGCGAAAAATACTTTTCTGCATTACTATTTTTGTTTATTTTATCATACTAAAATAACACGTGACAGAAGTTCACTCAAAAGTGAAAGTTCTTTCTGTTATTTACTAACACTCCCGTCATTCCTACTACTTTCAGAACATAAATTTTGATATTTTACCATATGAAAATGCAATGCAGTTATGAAAATTGAGAAATTAAAGCAATACAGAGATCTGGTCCCCGCGTCAGGTCAGGGTGCACCTGTAACCTTAAAAACGCAGACGCGGCGGAGGCGCACTAAACTCACACGGGAAAGAACTGGGCATTCAATTCATGTTTTAGTGAAATAATTCTTTAAATACAGCTCTTTTGATCTCTAAAGGGGAAAAAAGCAAAATAAATTTGTCGTTAAATTAATTTTAGCAAAGACGCAACTGCCTGTCATTTTCACATTCGTTTTTCAGTTGGGGATTTAGTCTATTAGAGTAACCTAATAAAATTGTTTTGTTGGAGACTGTAGTCTACACAATAATCGATATTATAATTTATTATATACATTAGCTATTATTAAAACTAAACTATACAATTGATAAAACAAACCCCTTTTTAATGTTTGCTTTCATTTTGACACCGCTAACAGTTGTAATAAGAAACATCACATTATGCAGAAGCATGCAGTCTCAAGTTAAAAACACCTTTTGAGTTTAAAGATGATCAGCCTGCCAAGTCAAGTTTACAGTGTCATAAATGAAATGGGTAGCATGAGTAAAGGGGATTTGCCCAGCACACAACCTCATGCGCTGCTGGTAGGCTGAATGATAATCTTTAAAAAATATATAGGCTATGCAATACAAAACTTTAAACATTCATTTATTTTTTAATGAAAAGAAAAGAAATCAGGAGAGTAAAATATAATTTAAACCACTGGTCTGGCGCTGATACTTTATTGTTTGTATCCAAAAGAAGGGGAAAAAAGCAGATGAAAACCTGGCTGGGGAGACGGCGATAACATATCAGTTCTTCAGCAAAGATCACGACATCATTGCGATGCGTTTATCATACAACGCAGTTCGTGTTTATAATCATTAATATTAACTAGTATTGCTCTCTCTAGACTTAGTTTTAGGGCTTGTTCTTGTCGGCGCAATATAGCCTCGGCTTATTGCACGTACGAATCCGATTGTGAAGAATGATTAGCGCTTGCATTTTTTTTTGCATCCTTTTCGCAAGTTATTCATTTGTTTTGTTTTTTAAGTGGTGCGAACATTATTTACTGGCAAACATGTTCCTCGATCTCGTACATCAACAAATAATGTAGCCTACCTAAGTTAATTTACCTTTTATGTAAGAATTAAGGAATAACCGAATTTAATATTAATAAATAAAACATCCGTATAAACGTACATGTTTATTTTTGAACTTTCGTTAATAAAACAACACAAAACTGTTTATAAATATTGTAGTTAAATATTACATTACTTTAACTGCTTGAAACTGTATAATAATAACAATTAAACGTTACATTTTTAAGAACTTAACAAAAAGTCTAAATGGCACTTTACTAATCAGTGTAATGATAATATAAATATTAATAATTATACGTAAAAAGAAAATATTAACCTAGTAACAATATAAGTCAGATGTTTAAAAAAACAGCGTAGTTTCTCTCCACCTTTTGTAGTCATATTTTAAATTATTTGCCAGAAAAACTAACATGTTGACTTTGTCCGGTTTAAGTGAAGAATGGGGTTATAATGTTTCCAGCAATACACTGTCAGACGGTGTGCTTGTAGTGAAAATGCACAGACAGGGTACTTTTTCACAACCATGCGAGAGAGGGCTTCTGCTTCTGTTCCGCCGCCTGCATTTCTCGCAATGCAGGTTTCTCTACTCTGCGGAGCGGCGCGTTCTTTAGTAGTTACCAAATAGCCTATGCTCAATTTCTCGTCAATGTCTTCCATTTATCACTTTCTCTTTTGTATCTGGCCATTTTTGCAAACGCCTCTGCCATGCCTGGCTGAGCTGGGCTTCTGCGTTTAGAAGACAGGAGTTGATTAAAGCCTACATGGCTTTTTTTCCCTCGTCGTCAATCGCCACTAGCTTGCATGATTCGGGACCCGTGGATCTGCGTATCGATGGATTTGCTCCTCAGTGTTTGGACTCTCAGCACTCAGCAGTGAATATTAAAACACACTTTACTTAAAACCCCCATACAAAAAGCTTAATCCAAATTGATTCGTTCACCTTTCTAGTTCGGCACGAATCCAAAATGTTCCCAGATGTAAGAGTTCGTTTTCTAACAAGATTCATGGTTGAACTTGAACTTGCTGAATCGCGCCTAATGTTATATTCTAACAGATATGTAATACTTGGCAACATAACAGTAATTTGTGTTTTAAAGTGCGTGACGTCACGTACTACGGCCGGTGGCAATGGACAACCGAGGTGGCAATGACCACCGCGGTGACGCGGTTGTCATGGTGACCGTCACAGCCCTAGTTTTAAGTATATATATATATATATATATATATAAATATATATATATATATATATATATATATATATATATATATACATATATATAAAAATATCGCAATATATATCGCAGGGGAAAAGAATATCGCAATGTCAATTTTTTCCAATATCGTGCAGCCCTAATATATATATATATATATATATTTTTTTTTTTTACATTAAGTCGGTTTTATTACTTGATACAACTACAGAAGACTCGAGCTTTAAATAGGAAAATTATTAAAAAAAATTTTTGAGTATTTTTAAGAAAATTCCAATGGTCAAATCCGTCATGCTAAGCTACTGTGAGCTAAAAGTGACACCACTAGAATGAGAAACGTGTTAAAAATGGTTCGAGTCAATGGTGTAACTCTAGGAGACTTGTAAATTGAGCCTTTTTCAAAAAAATGTGGAGTGTTCATTTTCATAGTCTGTCACTTAATCATTTTTATAACATGACATGAATATAGGGAATATATTTGGGTGGATATATCCAATCTGAATTATGGAAAATGATGCATCAGTTTTTGTTTTCATTTTGTAAAAATTGACAGTTTTGGACAAAACTAAATAAACGACAATTAAAACAAAGCACCTTGTCCATGATTATGAAAACTGCACCAGGAAAAATAATCCCCATCTTTGTTTGTAAGATTATTGAAATTAATATTTTGGATGAATTACAGTCTACCTTTTATAAATACAGTTAGCTGACTTCTTCAACACCATTATATTATTATTACACATACACACAATATATTATTACTTTCTAAACTTTCTGCATCTTATCAGATGTCATGTTCTTAACAGATCTACTGAACAGACTCCTCTATATGTCTTTTTAGCCTTTTCCTCAAGGAGGTGTTAGGATGTGTGTTTTTGTGTTTGTTCAGCAAGTAAATGGCCAGTCAGCCAGTGAATTGTGAAGAGAAGCGTGGAGGAAATAATCCCCTCAGAGCTGCACGCATCTCTCCACTGCTCTTTCACTTAATTGCAACATTAAATCGGACTCTTTCTGGCCCACTGCAGACCACGCATTTCCACAAATTATTATTGCAATTATTCCACTCTCTACCTGTTCCCTTTCCATATCTGACCCTCAAATATTAAATAGACGAGACATAAATTTAATATTAGTCATTTACGCCTCCTGGCAATTGTTAAGTATGTAAGTGTGTGATTCGCTGCTGTTGTGTGTCTCTGGGTCAACAGGAAGAATTTTATATTGCAGATCCCCCAGACCATAATGTAACATTTAAGTTTAAGTAAATAAAACAGAATATGTACGTCTTCATTTTAAGATTCTGTTTTTATTTATGCATTGGTTTACACTTAGAAAATGATCTAAACTGTAGTGGACAAAGTACACTGGATGGATAGTTGGATTGACAATGGTTAATTGAATTGAATTTGTAACATTATAAACAGTGTTCCCACAGGTCATGGCTTTTCTGTATTATCATGGAATTTTAAAAGACCAATCCCAGTTAGGCATAGGACAATAATCGTTTTCAAGGTATACCAAGGTTGGGAAAAGTTAAGGTTTTAAAACTGCCTAATGTTCTGCTTTACTGTTCCTACGGTATGTAAGATTTTGTTTTTGTTTGTTTTCTTAGGACAATTGTATCTCCAGCAGAAAAGATCTCCAAAGATGTCATTTTGAATCATAAAGAAATGTGTGTTTTTGAAACTAATGAAGACAGCAGAAGTCAATGATTCATTTAAATTATTTAGCCTGACGTAATATTAATAAATGTCCAAAAATAAATTCTCAAAATAAAATACAGGGCTTTATTTTAATAATATAGGTGCAAAGTCTGATGCGCAGGGCTCAAAAGCATTAAGGGGGTATCTGAATCCACTTTTGCTATTTTAAGGATGGAAAAATCTGCTCTGCACCATGGCGCATGGTTTAACAGGGTTGAGCTTATTCTCTTAATGAGTTATAGGTGTGTTTTGAGAATAAACCAATCAGTGTCTCATCTCCCATTCCCTTTAAAAGTCAGTTGCGTCGCGCCATGGAGCATTTGCTATTTACATGACGGACATTGTTAGTGGAAAAACTGAACACTTCACTTGCAAGAAAACAGTCAAACAGACCATCTGCAGAACAAGAATGCCTATGTTGACATGGACATCAGTATCAAGTTTGCCTTAATCTAATTAAGACAATAATGAGATTAAGGCATTTACATGAGTTTCTTTTTGAATGTTCCTTTCATGATCCTGCTTTACATTTTATAGCACATAGTTCGAGTAATGTTATCGCGTCACCACACTATCCACATTTCCTCCGAAGTTTGTGTGGGTGGATGGGTGGGTGGGTGGGTGTTTTTTCCTGTCGCAAAAAGTCCTACATAACTGTAATAGTTCAGTTAAGGTGTTTTCATGTCTGTGCTGCACTTCAATAATGCAAATAAAATCAGCATACTCCACACGTCTTAATTTGTTTTCTCTTTAGTTTGATTATGACCTTAATCTGATTAAATTAATCAAAAATCACTGTTTACATGGTCTACTCTTAATCAGAGTATTGTTTTAATCGCATTAAAATCGAATCGGTGGTGTCCATGTAAATCGACTCGATGAGCCTCCTCAAATTAGCCTTTACTTTCTCTCGTTCATTGATAAGGAAGGTGTCGTACGCACAGATATCCATTAGCCTACATAATTAATTCTGTTTGTTGAGCGCAAGGATTTGTTTCAAAACTATTTCTAAATTCAGTTCGAATTTCCAGCAAACAAATAAATGAACAATATAAGAAGTGTTCAAAAGTTATATCCAAACACACATGCTATGCATAACAGGTGGACGAGTCTAAGCTTGTTTTTAATAAAACAAATAAAAATATGCATTTAATAAATAATACTACTACTAATAACAATTTAATTATAACATACCAAACAAAGATGAAGGCATGGAAGCAGTGGTTTTTGTATTTATGTTGAAAATAATATTTAAAAAATATATATTTTAATCCTTTAATTATTTTTTTGTTTGTAAAGATATTTGCGCATTGCTGTACATCTTGTGTGAATTAAACAATGTGTAAGCGAGCCGCTCCACTAACGCGCACTGTGCTGGACTTCAGACCTGCTTTCAACTGGTCTATTGAACAGTCTTTTTTAGTTCCTCAAAATAGCAACGTACCAACAATGCACCTTAACACAGCTCTTTTCTAGACCGGAACACTCATGAGTCCACAAAGTGGCACAAATGGGCTTGCTATTAAAACAGTGTGGCAGAAAACAGGAAAACTAGGGTTGTGGTTGTCTTAGAATAGCAACACGTCATTAAAGAAACGTCTTGCGCCTTATTGCGCGGAGTGTTCGAAGGGGAAAAAAGTTTTAGTTTTCTCCCCAGACATTCAAAAAGAACATATTTTATAGCAGTAAGCGCAACCAGGAACCGTGATATTTTTATCAAAAGGTATCATACCATCAGAATCTAATACTGGCCCATGTCTAAAAAATCATGAATGGTACCAAAAAACATGTATTATATGTCAGTGTATTTTCAGTTGTTCAGTAGGAATATTATGAAGAATCCTTTTGTGCGCACATGAAACAACAATTTTGACCTTTTTTTAACCAATTCGGTATTATTTTGTAATGTATGTTTTACTTCCTATTTGTCAAAATGTTTTTTTTTCTGTTTTTTATTTATTTATTTATTTATTTTTTAATTGCAATGTTTAACCTGTTATGTCTATTGTTAGGGTTAGGCTATTTTTCATTGTCATTTTATTACTTTGCCACTTATCAACTGGCAATCGATTAATATGACTTATTTTATTGAGTTGTTTTGCTGTAAAAATATACACAAATTCACACATCTTAGTTCTTTATTATTTTTTTTACCTTAAGGACCACTGGTCTTTATGTATAACAAGGGAACATTGAGAGAAATACAAAGTTAGTGTTTACCTACTACCTAACCATAAATCCTAATATATATTATATCTGGTACATGAGTGACTCTAAATAATTAAAATAAACTAAATTGATAAAACCTCTTTAACAATAACATCAGAAAAATTATGTTAAAATTAAAAATTTAAGCAAACGATACAAAAAATGTAGCCTTGTTTAAATAGGCTTTGGCTGAATGTGTATTGAAATAATGTCAGATGATGAATCTAAAGCATGTGACTTAAAACCTACAGTATTGCACACCAGATAAAAACTTTCTTTATGAGAATATAGACTATATATGTGAAATATAAAATATGTATTTCTATATGCAAATATAAAATATAGTGCTATTTGATATCAAACAATGTAGATGGCGCAGAAAGAAATTGAACTGTGTCCTGGCTGGCCAAAATCCACAAAAATGGCTTCTTTTGAGACATTTGGTTTAATTGAGTTCAATTTAACGATAGCAGAATCACAAAATTCTGGAGGGACTGCTCAACACTAAAGCTGCCTATTTTTATTATAGGTCACACAAATTCAGCTTATTAGTCAGAGATTTGGCGAGTGGGAACTCTTTAAAACATTTAATTTTAATTAAATTAATTATTTAAAACATACAATATAGTGTAAAACATTCAATGTAAAAAAGCTAGGTTGTCAAAACAGGTTGTTTATGTATTTATTTATTCATTTTTTATTTGTCTGTCTTTCGATCAATGTAAACCCTAAACTTTTAGTGTGAAGAAAGTCCATATTTTTCACACTTGTGTATTTTTTCATTGTTTGTCAGGTCTGTCACTGATCATGTGGAATGGGCTGTACACTGCAGAGAAGGTCATCATCCAGTGGACATTGCTCAGCGAGGCCTGCTACTTTGCCATCCAGTTTTTAGGTTTGTTTCAATGAGAACTGAAGTCTTCTGCATGCTGTATGTTGGCAGATCTAGATGTGCTTTTTTATGTCATGATGGCACTGCCCTCTAGTGGTTGTTGTATATCAGTGGATTTACTCAAGTATGCAGTTAAAGAAATTATTAGAATTATTAGTTTTACTTTGTTAATTTTAATTGAATTTAATTATTATTTTGATTCTTTTATATTTTTCCCAATTTCTTTCTTTTTTCCCCAACACATTTCTAAATATAATAGTTCTAATAACTGATATCCTTTATCTTTGCCATGATGGCAGAAAGTGTTTTACTAGACCTTTTTTCAAGATACTTTTCAGCTTAAAGTGCAGTTTAAAGGCTAAACTAGGTAAATTAGGTTAACTAGGCAAGTTTGGGTAATTAGGCAATCCATTGTATAACAATAGAAAAAAAATTTGCTCAAAGGGGGCTAATAATTTTGACCTTAATGTTTATTTTTTATTTATTTTTTATTAAACTGCTTTTATTTGAGCCGAAATAAAAATAAGACTTTCTACAGAAGAAAATATATTGTAGGAAATACTATGAAAATTCACTTCATTAAATATCGCCAGTATGATTTGTATACAGTAGTCGTGCGGATTAGCTCATACATTAGTGAATAACCCTAGTGCATGTTTTACAACATTCCTCAGTCTGTCAAACATATTTTATTCGACTGTCCAATCAAATGACTTGATTATTTTCTAAAGTTTTGCCAGAATACATTTTAGAATAATTCATACATTCATGTAAAAAGTAATGATGTAATATTACTTGTGTTTGTTTGAATGGTTGAACTATCTCTTTTATCCTAATAGTCAGTAAGTTGATATTTGTAATGTGATAAAATATATTTAAAATGAATGATGTTCCTTTAAACTTTTTATTCTTTAAAGTATACTGGAAAAAATAAAATCATTTTTTTTTACTGATAATAAATGAATCTTTTCTGTGCTGCAAATAAATTTAGAACGGTTTCCATTAGCTCTGCACGATATTGGAAAAATGTAACATTGCGATATTTTTTTATTCTGTAATATATTTTGCCATATGAATATAATTTCAATAGATGACTTCACTGTTTGGAAAGAATTTATCATTTTAGACTGATTGATGAGAATCTGTAGGGTAGTGCATAAAATATAATAAACAATCTACAAGCATAGGGAAATTCAACAAAGAAAAATATGCAAATTATATAAACTGTGTTTTCTTGTGACCTGAAAACTCAAATCATATTCAGCCATACAGTAATTGAATAATCAAATGTAAAATAACACTGCATAGTCTTAATTTTATAAACAATTCAATAGAATTAATTGTTAATAATTTTTGAAAAGTTACAAACGGTGCATACATATAGCATAATACAGTTTCTATTTTTCTGGTGATAAAGTCAAATCATATATCTTCTGACCTATAGGCCTACTGTATATGACAGACGACATAATCTAACTAAAAACATGATGTGTGCTTTAAACTAGGCTACATTATTTGAGCATTCCTTATGATATTGATCTGTTGTGGCCCAGCTTATGTTTCCTTTTTTTAATTCTAGGTTTTTCTTTGAAATCTGTAATAGGCTAACACTGTTGACCCTAATCATTGGTAAAAAACAAAACAAAAAAAGCTTTTTTTTAGCAAAGCTTGATATTTTTCTGCAGGTTTGATGCAGACTGAACTAAACTGTGTGAGGCCAGTTTTACTTAAGAAATATTCCTTTTTCTGTTAATGACAATCCATATTGCACCCGTCAGTTTCACTTTTAATTAATTTAATCAACTACTTTGACCACAGAGACAAACTTTACAAACTATTCGCAGTACTGAAAGTATTCCTCTCGGAAGAATAAACTCCCTCAGATGGATAAGAAAATAAATTTACAGAGCGGCACACGTCGCTTCTGCGCAGCCAGTGCGTGAATAAAGCACTTGATGCATCACTGAGACACAGCGAGCAGCACTCCGGTATTTTTGGACACTTTTAAAACTTAGCAGCACAAAGGGGAGAAATCAGTGTGAGGATCTGTCCAATGTATTATTGAGCCTTTTCTAATTTAAAACCTCAGGTAGGCCTACTTTGTGTGTGATGAGCAGGTAATAACCCTCTCTACTCCAGTGTCGCGAATGCGATATGCTGATCTAACAGACACAGCGCAACATGATTTAGAAACCGCAATAAACTCCTTGCTGCAGGTCAAATGAAGCCATTTAATGCAAACTAAATGCATTTCTCCACTGATTATTTATATTAACAGGAACTCTTGGAGAGTTTTTCATGTTATCATGAATGCAACATGCAGTTTGAATTGTGAATAAATGAAGAATGATTGACAGGCACGGCGGCGGGAGGCTCTGAACTGAACATGACTTTAACCACTTGAATATTTATCTGTACTTCACAATAAACTATAGAATGGCTTCAGAACATTTAGAATATACTAGGCCTACATGAAAACCTTCTAGTGCCTTATTATAGGCTACCTTCATGGCTTTTGTTGGCTTATAAATTATACAGAATAATTTGCACGCGTAAAATCAGAATTTGGATTGGTACTAACTGGTCGATACCCAATCCAGCAAAAATATGCGCCATTGAACCGATATTCAACCCAAGTATCAGGATTGGTGCATCCCTACATATCAGACTTTTTCAGTGACGTTTGTTATTTATGCATGTCGTAGATTATGTGCATCTGGCATATTTGGTATCATACAGTCAAAGAATACGCATAAATTGCAAACATATATACCGTATTTCCACAATTTCTTCTTTGTGTTCCAGTGACCTCCGTCACTCTGGTGGAGCTGGGCTCTCTTCCAAACGCTGCCATCCTCCTTCTCCTCAGCCGCATATTCTTCCTCACCGTCACGCTCTCCTACTACTACCATCTGGGACGCAGGCCCAAAAAGATCTGAGAGGCAGCTTTCCACACAGCTGGTACTTGGGGAGTTGAGTTGAGGCCACTGGGCTGGAGTTTCCATTAGAGGCTTCGAACAGTAAAAACACGGTTAGAAAACATCAACCTGTTCACCTGGTGGACGACGCCGACCCCAACGCCTTCATTTTTATTTCAGCTTACACAGAATACGGGACCTTGCCTTCAGAGCAACTCCATCTCTACTCTTTGTTTCCTATTTTTTTATGCTCATGATGTGGTTAAATTATTTAGATCTTTCTTTCAGACAGTGTAGCTCTTCTCTTTTTCATGTAAAGTATTGAACGCCGTAGCCAAGCTGGGCGTAGTTGTCTGTAGCTAACAAAACTCTGTCATTTTCCTGTAATGCCAATAAATTAGTCATGTGACGTGCGTGAGTTTGGCTAGAAAACACTAGGATTGTGTTTTTGGTGTTGGTCATTCTGTGTTTGACCAGTTAATTGCCCTCGAGTGAGTCTAAATGCTCGTTTCATCAGTTGAACACAAAAGAAGAAATTTTGAAAAATGTTGGGAGTCATTGGCATCTATTGCAAGGAAAAAAATACTATGGAAGTCAGTTGCTTATTTTCAACATCTTCAATGTGTATTTTCACTTGTATTTAATAGAAGAAAAAACTTGACAATTAGCAAACGATGACAGGATTTAGATTTTTGGGTGGCTGTTTCTTTAAAACTTGTCACTGGTTGTTGTGTGTTCATCACCACTTTATCACTGAACCAGGAACAACAAGTTCTCGTATGGAAATGATTATAAAAAGCTGATGAAAGCATGAAAGACACAACAGGCTAGTTTGTTAGCATTTATCTTGAAAGTCCTGCTAATATGTCTCAGATAACTGCAGATATTTATTATTTTCTGTTTCCAGTCTGTTTTCAGAATATAGATAATCAAGAAACACCTTTCTATTGCTTTTAGTAATGCCACAGAACATGGTTGTGTAGCACAATGGCATGTTTCGTCCATTTCAACAAGCGATGTAGCAGTATTTTCCCTCAAAATGTCCATAATATTGCCTTAATATGCTAAACTGCACAAGCGTTCTACATGTCAGCACACTGCCAGGCGTTTATGTTCTTCAAAAGCTATGTATATATTTAATCTGTCCTGTTGATTTGCAGTTTTCTAGTTGCTTATTTATTGGCCTACCCTAAAGTTCATATTTTTGTGGTATCACTTGCATGTTTGTTTAATCAGAATATAATGCTATATGCCCTTGATGACAATTCTCGCACCAGTTCTGCTGAGACTAACTGCAAAATGAGCTGTGTGTGTCTGTATTTACACGATTGCTGCCTTGTCTGTATTTCCTATTATTTTTTGATTGTCTATTGATAACAACAGTGAAAATTCCCACTAAAGGAAAAACAGAATCAGAAGCATTTTATAGCTTTAATTGTATTGTAGAACTTAGAAGGAATCCTGGATGGAAGCAATACATTTCTCAAGAACCTACAAGGGAATGTACAAGGTAACCATGCGTGGTGGATGTTATCATATGTGATCGAGCTTCGGTGGATAAAAGTGTGTTGTTTGTGTACAGTATGTGGAAGTAGCAGTTTCTCTTTAGTAGACTTTAATTAGGCTTTAATTTTAAAGGGATAGTTCATGTTAAAATGAAAATTATCACTATCCTCTACCATTAGGACACAAACTTAAATGATCATCAAAAAAAAGGAGATTTGTTTTATATTTAGCTTCCATCATTGTAAATGGGTTCACCCAAGATTCTGACATTTCAAAATGTTCATGAAGAGATCCAAAATAAATATCTATTTGATTCAAGAGGTTAGCAGTCTCCTGAAGAGATTTGATTTGGCTTTTATTGGCATATAAAGATTGATCAGCGAACATAAATGCTTTTCTTACTTGGAGTTTTTGTCTTGTTTCTAGTGCTTTTCTTAAAATTCTCAAATCAAGAAACTTTTTCTAGAAACGCAAACACAAATTTGACTTGTTTTCAGAAGTAATAGGTTAAAATTATGTGAGTTTGTCCTTAGAAACAAGCTAAATAATCCTTTTTTTTTTTTTTAAACTCACTTATTCTTGACTTTTTGAAAATGACAATATTTTTGTTTGCCTAGAAAATGTTTCTTGATTTAAGAATGTTTTGATTTTTGGACTAGAAACAATACAAAAAACGGAAGTAATAAAAGCATTTTTGCAGCGTTCACATGCAAGAACAAACTCTATTGGCTCTCGCTGAAGCTCAAATGTACCATGTGACAATAATGCTCATCACTGGTTCTTGCATGTCAAGCAAAGATTCTTGAGATTGTGTGGGTTCTGTAAATGTTGGTAGCTGATTAATATTTCTGTATGAATAGATTTATATTCAATAGCCAGATCTGTATGAATTTGCTTTTTGATGTATTTCTGACTGTTTCCATCCAGCAGTGTCTTGGGTGAACAGACTTTCAATGGAGGAACAGAAATACCTCTGTCTTTTGAAGATAAACAAATGTCTTACTGGTTTGGAACAATGTGAGTTTGACTGAGTTTTCATTTTGGGGTGAACTAACCATTTAACATCAAACCTCTGCTGTACATGTGAACAAATATAGGGGGTTAGCCTTATAATGTTAAAAGCTTGCGCTTCTTTCTTAAGTCATATTGATTTAATCTCAACATTACATGTGAATTAAAAACCTCTCTTCTTTTCTGCAAATATTTTTCTTTGAACCAAATCAGTCCTAACTAGTAATTCACAATGGGCATGGCTGTTACTATATGTTTTGTTCCTTTTATTATTATTTAAAAGCAAAGCTCTCATCCCTCATAACACTCCCCTATCTAAATATGATGGTGGCAAACGCCGAACATGAATCATTTGTTAATCAGGTCTCCTGATCAGAATTGTGTTGCCATACAATTAGAGATAAATACCTGTTTAGCTGCTATTGTGGCTTTAGCTGTCTGTCAGCGGTATACATAATGCCTCTGAAGGGATATTAATGTACTTTTTAAATGTGTGTGTGTAAATATTTTATTGAGAGATGTTATTGTTATGGACCTGCATTGTTATCTTTTTGAAATAAAGAAAATGTACATTTATCTTAACTGCCACTCAAATTTGTTTGTTTTTTGTTGTTAAATATAAAGCCTCCACCTACAAACACACACGCACACACACACACACACACACACACACACACACACACACACACACACATACATACATATGAAACCGGTGTACCCGGATGAAACCCACGCGAAGGAAGGGAGAACATGCAAACTTCACATAGAAACGCCAACTGAGCCAAAGTTCGACCCAGCGATCTTCTTGCTGTGAGGCGACAGCACTATCTACTGCGCCACTGCCTTGCCCATATATATATACACACACACACATGCATACATATACATATATATATATATATATATATATATATACATACACACACACATATATATGTATGTGTGTACAGTGGCGCAGTAGTTAGTGCTGTCGCCTCACAGCAAGAAGGTCGCTGGTTCGAACCTCGGCTCAGTTGGCGTTTCTGTGTGGAGTTTGCATGTTCTCCCTGCCTTCGCGTGGGTTTCCTCCTGGTGCTCTGGTTCCCACCACAGTCCAAAGACATGCGGTACCGGTGAATTGGGTAGGCTTAATTGTCTGTAGTGTATGAGTGTGTGTGTGAATGTGTGTGTGTATGTTTCCCAGAGATGGGTTGTGGCCGGAAGGGCATCCGCTGCGTAAAAACTTGCTGGATAAGTTGGTGGTTCATTCCGCTGTGGCGACCCCGGATTAATAAAGGGACTAAGCCGGCAAGAGAATGAATGAATGAATATATATATATATATATATATATATATATATATATATATATATATATATAAAATAAAGTATTTAATCTTGAGTTGCTAACGAAAATATTCTTTTTTTTCTATTTGGTCTTGGTTATAACTATAATAAAATGAAATAAATTAAACTAAATAAAAATAAAACATTGGTTAAAATCAATCAAAGGAATATACAGTAGTAAAACTTACAAAAACATAAACCAATTCAAACAAATAATGAAACTGCAATAGTTCCCCAGTTCTATTAAAATAACATTGCTTTGGTTTCAGTTATGGGCTTATGTTGCATTAAAGTCATTTGACCTTGCTGCACTGTAACCCATTAAAAGTATTCTAGGAACTGCATTGTATTGGTATTTCTAAGATGTGTGCCTTCTTGAGCATTTATATTTGTAAATAAATATCCCCTAAACATTATCTACAACTGTTCAATAGTAAATATTTATGTTTGCAATTAAACGCAGCTCCAGTTTATTTATTTATTTTTTTTAAGAATTATTATTTTTTCTTTTAGGTTATTACCTCCAATACAACTGAAATGAAAACGAAAAGGGTCTAACCAGTGATTTCACAAGCTTCATTGTGTCTGAGATGATGCATCATAAAGGCTGCATTCAGATATTATTGGCTGAAACAACAACTTAGCAGCCTAAGCTTTTTTTAAATTATATATATATATATATATATATATATATATATATATATATATATAAATTTATTTTTAGCATGGTTGTTTCCCCTTTTGGCCGGAGGAGGGCAGTGTTGCACATGCCATCCATCTATCGATTAATTTTTTATCATAATTATTTTTTTTTTGCAACAATTGGTCAGACTTTCACAGTATTTTAGTAGAGAAAATCCCTTCAGCAGAGTAACTTAATTACATTTTACTGTATGTGAAGCGACATGTCTAGCTAATTAATTTAAACATAATTTAACAGACTTTAATCTTAAATTTTATAATAATAAAAAAGTAACGTTATAGAAACTATATAGAAAAAATACCCCTAAATTCTAAAAGACTTTGAACCAGATTTTGCTGTGACACAATCCAGAAAGCTGGATTATCAACACGTTAAGATCTTAAATATTTAAGTATTTACACAAAATGCTAGCTGTGAAAGGATCCTTAGCGAGGAGAGTTTAGAATTATTTCGTTTGAAGCTGTAAAGCAGCACGTGTGGTGGTGAAGTCAGTTTACAAACTATTATCTAACAAACTATTTGACACTCCTGTCATTAAAACATTTAATAGCACTGACTGCTCGAGTTTGGTTTGTTTAATAAATAGTAAATGCATACTTTTAAAGTAGTGGGAGTAACTTCCAATGGCGGGGTTTGGCGGAAACTGGTCATCATGATAGTGATCATAAGCGGCTGTTCGTCTGGCTAGTAAAGGGTTAATGTGGTTTCTCGTGAGCTGCTCTCTTTTTGTTCAGACTGTTAGTAGCACAACAGCGAACTAACTGACAGCTGCTCCACGGATCTTCGCTGCGACTTGACACAAAACAGGTAAATGATTTCCCTTTTATCAATAAAATGGTAAATACAGATTATAGTAAAGTGATTTAACTTGCTGCTGGCTTGAAGTAGTGCCAACACGTAAAGCTACTAACTTTTTAGTAGGTCCTGATGTGACGCTTCTAGCCCTGGTATAGCTTTCTGTCATGTAAAACTAGTTTGGTGGAAGTTGTTGCAGTGTGTTTTCTACTTTGTATTCAGCTTTAAATGTCCGCTGATGTGGCACTGGCAGCTTGCACAGTTTGTAATGCGTTCTTGAAGTTACCGCTGAATTTACAGCGACTTACAGCAATACGCTTATACGGCACACACGCGCAGCTGTGGTTATTAAATGACGGTTGAGCTTCTTTAGAAACTGGGAGTCTCTTTATGAACAAGTTGTCTTCGTGTTACTATACCGAGGCTGGTTGGTATTAAAAAGAAGCGTTCTAGCAGCTTATGCACGTGTTTTGTGTTATCCTCACAGTCCCGCTGCACCTCCAAATATTAGGGAACTATAAAATTGTGATTGAGGCCTGAGTTTTAATAGAAGTCGACCAAATGTTATAGAAAGTCATGACAATGTTTGTCGTGAGTTTTACTAAATTTACGATTCAATATGTTCCATATGGTATTCCCCATATGGTTTCTCCGTCTTAAAAAATGTTTTAACACCAACATTGTAATTCATTTACTTCAATATATTGTCCTATTGTTATTTCTCAGACATGATTTGTTGCATGTTATGATATAAAGTTTTCTTATTTGTCAAATAAAACTGAATTGAAATGCAGACAACAAATCTGATGTAAACCTTTCTCACCATTTGTTTAAATAACATTAGTTATACACATTTTTATATTAATAAATTAATGCTTTGACTGAGCTCTTTCATAGCCTTTTTTCAGCTAATAAACATTTTCCAGCAGAAGCTGAAATCTTACAATTCACAAAAGTATTGCAGTCAGTTTCAAAGTGTTCGGTCACTGTAGTTTTTTATATAGAACAAAAAGATTTATCTCTCACATATTGTTAGTGCCTGTTTGACTTCCACGTTTTACAAAATATTTTTATTATATAATTATAATTGCAAAGATGCGAATTAGACTTTTGCCAAAACTAGAATATTCCATAAAACATGTATGAATACAACTGAAATCCCTTTAAGGCAAGTCATTTCACTTGGCGGCCATCTTTGAAACGCCTCTCAGGCAGTAAGCTCGGGCATTCTGTTTGAATAGGAAAACATCAAATTGTTCAAAATTGTTTGCCAAGCTTAAAACTACATTCATATTACAAATAACAATTAACTGTATGTTTAGTTTAATTTGTAAATGATCGAATCAGACAAAATTTGCCGAAGCTCACGTCTGGTCCAAGCCCCTCCTCTGGAGAATCGTCCATCTATAGCGATCGATGATTGGTGTTCCTCGGTCTTTATTGGCCATATTGGCACCATACACTTTTCATAATTCAAAACTATACTATTGACATGTCTTGCGTATTCTATAGTCTTTGGTAAAACACTGAGCAAGAATGTTCTGGATGTACTGTACCACTTTAATGATGGACTTTGGCTAAGGGATTTTAGAATGACAAAAACATGGTTGATTTGCTGGATTGTCTGTTAATGCCATGCCACATCCATTAAAGCTGTTTATGTTATCACAAGATCTGTTAAAACAAAATCACATGCTTTTTTTTTATCAACTTGCTGGAATTTACGTTTCCATTATAGTTTATGCTCATTAATGCACAGAATTATGGATTATCGATATGAAAGATACATCAATGCTGCCTTTAAAATTTGATTAGAAGAAGGTACCTCCAGAGACCAGATATGGAGGAGAATTTAGATTATAATGTGCTTTGGTGCAATTCTGCTTTGGGATGTAGTCATATTTTCCGTTAGCACACAAACATTTGGAAAACTTTGTACATGCGTCACATGTCTTTCATTGCAATGGGCAGGAACCCCCAATCTCAAACTTGAGACAGTCAACCATCAATTTGACATTAAATTGCATGCATTTTATGCTAGTAAATTACTTAATTAGCACTCATCATGTGTATTGTCTCTTCTTGTTGAATCACTGAATGCCTCGATTTAAAGTTGCTTTGGACAAAAGCGTCTTCTAAATAACAAAATGAAAATGTAAGTCACTTGTACTAAATGTTGATTAGAATAACCTGTTTAGCAAGATTCTTTTCAAACTTCATCACAGCACAGTGTGGCCTGAACAAAAAAGCAAAGTATTTAACAAACACATTCTGGGATATTATTAGGGTCACTGCTCTGCTGTCAGAACGGTGACATCTGTCTATAATGAAAGCACAGATGTGGAAATGGGTCAGAATTGAGTTTGGGCTCAGCTGTAGATTATCCATGAGGTCCATAAAAGGTTAAAGCTGGCAGACCTCCCAGGACGTGTCTCTGACTGGAATGAGCCAGGATACAGATGTTCCTCTGCTTTTACTTGTCTTTTTCCTTGCTGGAAAACTGATGCTTTTTGGAGCCAGCTAAAAATGGGATGCCACTGTGTTTTCGAGAGCCGCTTTGCCAAGACAGGCCCACAGCAGAAACTTAATAGGCAGCTCTATTTCATAAGGGAAATTTAGGTTTGGGGGAGCTTTCTAAAAAAAGGTTTTATGTGCAACAACATTCCATGTTGGAAACCAGTAAACTTGTTGTAACTTTGCTTGCATGTGTAAGAACACGCTGCACTTGAAGATGCAGTTTTCAATTAAATGTTTTGTTTTAGATGTACTGTAAGCATAGTTACGAGGTGTTTTAGTTGGTGTTAATTATTCTATTTAGGTTTTTCTCAGTCTTTCTATTTAACTGTGGGGTTGGACATTTAAATAAAGATTCTGGATTTGGAGACATCCATAAAAATCCCCAGCATCAAGTAAAAGTGCAACCGACAGCCACATTTAAAGTAAACATCAAGTAGATTTCACAGTTTTATTGAATATTGCAGTATATTTATTTTTGGACATTTGTATTAATTATATATATTTTTAGTTTTATTATTATTATTATTATTATCTTTTTTTTATCATTCATTCATTTTTTTTCAGCTTAGTCCCTTTATTAATCTGAGGTTGCCTCAGCAAAATGAACCGCCAACTTATTTAGCTATTGTTTTACATAGCAGACACCCTTCCAGCTGCATTCCATCACTGGGAAACATCCATACACACTCATTCACACACATACACTTCGGACAATTTAGCTTACCAAATTTATCTATACCACAGGTCTTTGGCCTTGTGGGGGAAACCAGAGCACATGCAGGAAACCCACACCAACACGGGGAGAACATGCAAACTTCACACAAAAAAATGCCAACTGACCCAGCAGAGGCTCAAACTAGCTACCTTCTTTCTGTGAGGCGATTGTGCTATCCACTGCACCATCATCATGCCTATATTAGAATTATTATTGTGATGATGTACAGTAGATGTAGTATTAGTAGTAGTATTTATATTTTTTATGTATCTTCATGGGTCAGACGTTATTGGCAAAATGTTACCAAAATAAATACATTGTTCATCAGAACTATTGTCAAATATGAAAATTCATTAAATGAAGTGTCAATTTGTGACATATGCAATATGCAGGTTGTATGCATGCTGCTTTTCCCCCCTAAAGCTAACTCTGACAATTCATCACATATTTCTGTTGAGCCAGTAGCCAGTCCGAAGTGTTAAGCCACATTGAAAATGGCAGCATTTTGAGTGTGCACACATTCACTGACTGAATTCTGCCCTCTCACAAACTTATCATAAACAACAGCATTGAAACTATTTAAATGTATTATGCAGATGTAGTTTTGAAACACTATGCTTCAGATTAGCATCATGGATTGGCATGTTTAATATAACAAGATTACAGTGTGCCACTGTCTACACAAAAAACATATTCTATTAAGTAACATTAATAATTAAATATTATTCAGTGTTCAATTAAAGGGACGGGCAACCTTTCAATCACACAAGAGCTACTAAATAACATCTAATCACAATAATTCAATACGTTTCTAATGGTCATAAACAAATCTGATGTTCACCAACAGCAGATTTGACACTGCATGATACATATTTGTCTTTCCATAGCTTGAGTAAGGAGAATTGTTTTATCATTTAGGAAATATTTTAGATTTGTTGAATGTGATAGTTATCAAGTGCTGTGTAACAACATCAGTACCATGGTACAAAAGTGGCCCAACTTTATGCTTTCAATGACATTTGTTCTAAAAAAAACAAAAAATAAAAACTAATTTGTTCAAATAAAATGCACAAACAATATGACCTATATGTTAAAATAATATTATATTACTCTATTTGGTATGTTGTATACATTAATAATACAATAAAATCTGAAATAATTATGCCACAAACAAACCTACAAACCCATGTTTCCTATTAAGCGTGATTACCGTAAAACTATGGTAATAGTTGATAGTTTGTCTAACAAAAAGCCTTCTAACCTGATTGTAGTTGCACAAACTTTCAGTTGTTTTCTGTATCACTGTTGTTGAGAATGACGGCCTGTTTCATGTAAGAGTTACTGTACATTTAGCTGTCAGGTAATTAGGTCAAGATTATTTGAAGTACCCGGATGAAACTGTGTTGTTAATTTTACTGCTATCTGAGAATAATATACCTTGAAATGTCATAACTGAACAAAAAGCATCAATTATTCCAGAGAGCTCTGTAACAATTGCCTTTATAATGGTTCACTGGGTGATTTGCATTGAAAAACTTTACTTATTTCAAACTTCTAGGAATTTCTTTCTTCTGTTGAACATAAAAGAAGATATTTTGTAGAAAAATTAAAACCTGTAGCCATTGACTTCCATAGTATTTGTTTTTCTACAATGGAAGTCAATGGTTACAGGTTTTCATCTTTTTCATCTTCTTTTCAACAGAAGAAAGAAAGTCATAATGGTTTGGAACCATGTAATGGAGAGTAAAAAGTGAATTCATAGTTGAGAGAACTGCCCCTT